AGCCACGAGTGGTGCGTGGCCCTGGGCAGGTGGAGGCGGAGCCTGATGCAGGTGGACTCGGCCTAAGTCCAAGAGTGGTTCCTCCTCAGGTGTTGGAGGGCCCGGACGCACGCTGCCTGGTCGACTTTTGGTCGAGTTTATTATAGATCAAGAAGTGCCTACTTGGCGAGCCACATGCCAGCTGTCTGGAAGAAGCGATGAGATAACCTCCACTTATTGGGCACCTGCTGTATGTTGGGCCTTGACCTCATTTAACTTGACCCACCTCGTAACCCTGCCGGGTGGTCTCCCATTTGACTCTAAAGAGGCCCGGGCTCGCTCGCACAGGGGACATGCGATTCAGACAGGGGCCCTGAGATCCCCAGGATCGCTCACGGTAAGCGGTGGAGCTGGGATTTGAATCCAGGTCTGTGGATGTCAGGCCCCAGGCTCAGGTCCCCCGCATCAGGGTCGGTCAGACCTAACTGAGGGGACACCACGGTTGTCCCCAGAGCAGACAATGTGCCTGGGGCATCAGTGGGCATCGGCCCTCTTGTCAACATGCGTCATAGGGACCCAAACTTATTGGAAACTCCCACCATAGCGTTCGGGAACATTCCAAGAAAAGTTTGCTTAAGGACCCAGAATAGAAAGTCTCAGCTTAAAAAAAAAAAAAAAAAAGGATAATTGCTTGGTTACGTGAGAACTGAAAATGGAGAGTTAGGGGAAGAATATTTGTCATGATTATTCTGGGCCCTTCAATCAGTTCGATGTTCTTCTCAAGAGAAGAACGCACGCTGAGGGAAATTCTCTTATCACACCCTTGCTGACAGGGCTCAAAATATTTATTGAAAGTCTCAGCTGTCACTTCTGTATAAATAAACAGGATATGGATGGCCGACTGCCTGTTGGAGATATTTTTAGACGAGGGTGGCTCTGCAGACTGGAGGGATAATGTTTCAAGGAGAAAGCGCCCGATCCCAGAATAGTCCCCATCAGGCCCAGCCCCTGCGTGGCCTGCGCGTGGGGCCTGTGAGTCCCCGTTCCCTGGGTCAGGGCCTCCTCCCCGTCCTGCTGGGCCAGCCCAGAGAGGGCAGCACCTCTTCCCAGAGACATCCCAGCCCCACACCTCAGGCGCAGAGGATAAGGGACCGTGTTTGGGATCAGGGTCTGTCACTGGTCCCGCCGTGAACACCACAAGTTAGGCGGGTCTGGTGGACCTGAGGCGGAGGAGAAGACAGCCACTGGGACCAGCGCTTGTCACCCGTATCCCGTGGCTGGTCAACAACCAGCCCAGGAGGCTGGGCTTCGGGGTTTAACAACGTGCGACACATCCAGCTCTTACCTGTGCCAGGCACCTGATACATGCTAGTGAGGCCCGGCCGGTCACGTGCCTCTTTCCGCTTCTGTTTTTACTTGAAACACGAGTCCTTGTTCACTTGGGAAAAGCGTGCACCCCGGAGGGCACGGGTCCCACACACGCCTGCTGCTGGGGCCTCATGCACCCCACGCACCCTCCCACATGGACTGAGGGGGGCCCGCGGTCCCCGTGCACTCAGGGAGGGACCCAGAGAGCAGCCAGGGCAAGAAAAACAGTGACTTAGTGATTTATGCTTTTTTAAAAGACTTTATTTATTTATTCATTCATGAGGGACACAGAGAGAGAGGCAGAGACACAGGCAGAGGGAGAAGCAGGCTCCCTGCGGGGGGCCTGATGCAGGACTCGATCCCGGACCCCGGGGTGACGCCCTGGGCCGAAGGCAGATGCTCAACCACTGAGTCATCCAGGCTCCCCTGACTTAGTGGTTTAGAGGCCATATGACAGGAGTGGTGGTAAGGGGGGTAAGGGGCTCAGGGGTGCTGGAGACCCCCGCCTCTTCCGTGCAGCCTTTCCAAGCCTCCGTGGGTAGCTTGTTGATCTGTGGCCTCTGCTCCAAACTCACGTGTGAAAGCTATTTTTGCTGGGCACGGGATCCTGGGCAGACGGGGCTGTGTTCCCACCACTGCTGCCAATACTTCGTCACCCCATTGTCCCCCAGCCTGCACGGTCTCTGGTAAGAAGTCTGCTGACATCCTATCATTGCTCCTCCCTAGGTGTCTTTTGTCTCCACAGACCCTGGGGGGTTTTTTGTTTTTGTTTTTGTTTTTTTGACCCTGGAATTTTTTCTCTTGGATTTTCTTTTTTTTCTTTATCTTTGGTGTTCAGCTGCTTGTTTGAACTTGACGTGTCTAGGTGGTTGTTTCTCGGCTGTTGCTGTTGCCTTGGTGTTTGCCCCGTTTCGGGTTCCCTGACTTCTTGGGTGTGCAATCTGATATCTGGCTGTTTGGGGAAAAATTTTTCAGCTATTATCTCTTCAACTATTGCTTCCACCCCATTTCTTCTCCCTCTTCTGGGACGCAGAGTACAAGTTGGAGCTGAGACCATTGACAGTGTTATTCATTCACCACCGGGATGCTCTCTTTTTTTTTTTTTTTCCTCTTTGTGTTTCTGTTTGAGTAATTTCTACTGACCCACCTTCAGGTTCACTGATTCATTGCTCGGATGTCAGGTCTGCCGAAGAGCCCATCAAAGGAATTCTCTTCGATACTGAGACTTGGCTTTATTTCTAGTATTTCTCTTTGGCTTTTGTGAGCGTGCATCTCCGCAGAAATTCCCTGTTGCTGTATGTCATCTGGCTTCTCCGCCCGGACCCTTTATCACACTCATCTGTTTGGTAGTCCCAGCATCTCAGTCATCCTGGAGTCTGATTCTGTTCATGGATTTATCTCTTGACAAGGGGTTGCTTGGTTTCTGTTGCTTTTCAATGAAAAGCTCGTGATTCTGTACTGAATACTGAACTTTCGTGTAGAGGACAGCAGAGCCTGGGGTAACTAGTGTTCCTATCTGGAAATGGGTGGCCTCTTCTGCGAGGCTGTTAGGGTGGGGTTTGAGTCCATCTTGTCGGGACTTACTGAGCTGGGTTTGGGGTTTGTGGCTGCCATGGTTGCCTTCAGAGCACCACAGGCCTCCCTACCTCAGGCAGCGGGCTGCCATTGCCTTGTGCTCGGGGCCGGGGCTGGTGAAGTGTCCTCAGTGCAGCGTCCCACCCCGCATGCCTGTGCCCCAGACCGCGTCTCTCTCCACCTTGTCTGGGCAGCAACAGCTCCTGCTTGCTATTCCATGCCAGGTCCGTATGAGCTCAGACAGGCCCTGTGTCTCCGAGTGGCCAAGCCCTGCCCTGTACCTGTGGGGTCTTGTCTGGCAGATCCCTGCCCCTCTCCCAGTGACAGGAGACCTCTGTTTGGTATCATGCAGGGTCCTAGGCCCAGGATGCATTCCTGCTGCTCTCCCAAGGGAGAAGAGTCTTTCCCTGTCCTTCTGTGGGCCACAGAGCATCTTGCTCGTGCCCTGGGGCCGACAGGCTGACCATCCCTCTGTCAGCCGCTTAAGGGGTTTGCTTTCCAGGAGATACAGGGCTGAGAACGTCGGAGGGGCTAGGGTCTGTTTGTCACCATTCACTGCTCTTCCTCCAGCCGTCTAAGGCTCTGCAAAGTATTCAAGGAACATGTGGTGTTTGGGCCTGGCCCCAAGCGGCAGCTCATCTGCTCGCCCCCCATCTTTCTCATGAGCTCATGACCCACTGGAGCCTCATGGGAAAAACGGGTGAGTCACAAAACCGCCAGCGTGTCTAGGGCCCCAGAAATTCCAGGCTGACCTTCTAGCCCACAGTTGGCCTCTGGCAGCGTGTTAGAAGTGGATTTCTCCTCACGACTGGTATGGCGGCTGTGTCTTGTTCCCACGCTCTGCCCCAGGTGGGGCCGTCCCTGCGTAGCTTCTCCTTGAGATAAGTCACGTCACTGCTTTGCAGCCTCTGCTCTCTGATGGACTCCAGGAAACAAACCCTTCTGTAGTTTCTCTGGCGTTTTTTGTTATCGTTCAGGTAAGAGCAACACTCTTTGCAGCAGAGGGTTCTTCTGCAGTTTCCAGGAGCAGAAGCGACTCACCTACTACATTTTAATTTCCCCCAGTGCTGAATCTTGAGTTATTAAAAAGTGATTTATCTCAGAGTATTAACCATAGATCCACCGTATCCGGCAATTACGCTTCGGGGTGTACGCCCAAAAGAATTGGAAGCAGGGTCCTCTATGCTCAGGGAAATAAACCTGTCACAAAGAGACAGAGATTCTGTGATCCCACTCACGCGAGGTCCCTAGGGCGGTCACACTCGGAGACAAAAACTGTGGAATGGTGGGTGGGGAAGAGGGGGATGGGAAATCAGTGTTTCCTGGGGACAGAGTTTCTTTTTGGAAAGATGAGAAAGTTGTGGAGATGGACCGTGCTGACGGCTGCACAACAGTGTGAATGTATTCAATGCCACGGACCTGTACACGTAAAAATGGTTAAAATAGTAAAACAACATTGTTATTTAAATTTTACCACAATTAAAAAAAGAGAAAAACCGATTTACCGGTGCCTGCCCATGTCAAGTACTCTTCGCTGCCCTGGCATTACAGAAGTGGACAGAAGAGACCAGGTCCCTGTCGTCGTGGCATTTAGAGCCAATAAATAATATAAATACGTCACTCTGTACAATGAGGGGTGAAGAGCACTGTGGGAGCGCCAGTGCGGGTGGAAGGATGGGGCCCGGGAGATAAGGCCTCAGGGGGAGTCCTACCTCCTAGGCTGAGGGGCGTGCATGGGGTAGGGGGGGTGGACAGGAAGGGGCTGGAGAGGCCGCGGATCTGGGCACAGACCAGGCCGCCGTCTGTCCCCCTTTTCGGCTTCCCTTGCATGTGGCATCCCAGTCCCTGGAATCCCAGAAGTGGGGAGGGACGCCCCTAAGGCCCAGCTCACTCTCTGGGACATCTAGGGAGCCCCCACAACACCGTCGAGGGTCTCCCCCTCCTGGAGTAGGGCCGCTGCCGTCGGGCCTGGACGTCCAGGGTGCTCGGCACGGTGGGGGACAGGGTGAGGAGCCCCGCGGGGTCCTGCCTCGGGCCCCTGCTCGCCGCAGGCTGATGAGCGGCCTTCCCATCTGCAGGAGCTACGGGGAACTCACGGACTGCACCCGGCACGTGGCGGACCAGCTGGATTGCTTCTGGCCGAACGCCGCCGTGGACAAGTTCTTTGTCGCCGTGCACCAGCGCTACTTCAGAAACTGCCCCGCGTCCGGCAGGGCCGTGCGTGACCCTCCCCGGAGCATCCTGTGCCCCTTCATCGTGGTGCCCATCCTGGTGACCCTGCTGGTGACGATGCTGGTGGTGTGGAGAAGCAAGCGCCCCGAGGGCATCGTGTAGCCAGGGTGTGGCCGCCCGCCGAGGGGGAGCCCTGGCCTGGCCTGGGGACAGCTGCTGCGCCCTCATGGCAGAGCCGGGCCCCGTCCCCGTACTTCTCCCCAGAAGGGCCATCAGGAGTTCGGTGTTAACCTGAGAGCCCCTGGCTGGGGGTAGAAGTGACGGGGGGGGGGGGAGCATCGCTGGCTCTGTTCCCGGGGAGGGTCCCGGGCTCTGCCTCCCAATGTTCCAACCTCAGGCCGGACTGTGGCCAAGTAGTTTGTGATTAAAAGGCCGTCCTCGGAGGTGGCAGCGTCTTTATTTCTGGGGGTGGGGCTGAGAGAGGAGGCGGCGGGAGAAACACTCGCCCATCGGGCTCCACGCGCCATCCCGGGGCCTCGGGAGGGGTAACGGACGGCCGAGCCCCGAGTGGCCCGCAGATGCCCCCGCCACTGTCACCTCAGCGCGGGTGCTAGGACCGCGGCTCACAGACCGGGGAGGCCCCTCCTCGATGCCCGCCAGCCGTCGGGGCGGCGCGCGCCTCCCTGCTCTCCCCGAGGGCCCACCGGCTGTCTCCAGGCCCCTGCTCTCTCGCTCACTATTTTTTTCAAACTCTGCTTACGACCGCCTTCCGGAAGGTTCTGAATCCCCAAAGGGAGCTTCGGCCCTCTTCCTCCCCATGTCTTCTGAGTCCAGGCCTCTCCTCTGAGGTCCTGGCAGCCTCCACCCCGCCCTCCCCTCCAGGGCCTCTTGGCCGCGGCCCTGCCCCTCCAGGACCACGGACCCGACGGCCCGTCCACACCCGCGGCCTCGGCCTCTGCCCTGTGGGCCAGCCCACCCAGGCCCTGGGCCCGGCAGTTACCCCTGGGATCTTCGGGGGCACCCAGCACCCCGCTCAGCTGAGCAGACCCCACCCCCGTGCCGGCCCCTCCCTGGCACCTGCTGTCGCACCAGGGCCAGGCCTCTGGTCTGCTAGCGGCTTCTGTGATGGCCGTCCTCAGGCCTCTGCGCCGAGCCACACCTGGCAGGAAAGGAGCCCAGGCCGCCCCGACGGCGGGGTCGCCACCTCAAGGACCAACGGGCGCCCGCATCCACGCGTCAGGACGTGGGCGCCGCTGCGCAGGCTGCGGCGTCGGGCCCGGCTCCCCTGGGCCCTCGCGTGCTGTGCGCCCGGGGCCACGGGAGCTGGGAGGACACGGCGGTGGGCTGCGCTGGCCCGCGTGCCCCGAGGAAGCTGTGGCGCAGGCACGTCGGGGCGAGGGCCCGACGCAGGAGGCAGGAGTCCCGGTGCCGCGGATGGCCCAGATCTCGGGAGCAGCGGGTGGCGGGGAGCAGACGCTGCGGGCCCGAGGGGGGTCTCCATAGACACCGTCACCGAGAGCAAAGGCGACAGGTGCCACGGGGCCGGGGACAGCCCAGCCTGACCTTGCCAGTCAGTGGTCCCGACGTCAGTGACTCTGCCGAAGGCACCGGCCTCGTAAGCCCACGGGTCCCGCTCCCCTCAGTGCTGCCCAGAGGCCATCCTCACTGGGTCCCTCTGGCCCAGGTCACACCCCTGGCGGCAGGGCCCCGGGACCCCAGCTGCCGGGGTGCCCCGTCGTCTTCAGGCCCTGCAGCTGGTCACGGCCCCACGCAGCCACTGCCTCACCGGGGACAAGGCCCCCTCTTCATCCGAAGTGCTCTGCCGGCCTGAGGGGTGTGTGTGGTGTGTCTCTGAGGTATGTGTGGGCGGGGATGGTGCGTGGGTGCGTGGGTGCGAGATGTGGATGTGTGGCGTTTGTGTACTCTGTGTGCACTTGTGTACATCAGTGGTGTGTGCGAGGTGTAGGGGGTGTGTGGGGTATGTGGCCTGTGGGATGTGAGTGGGGGTGTGCAGTGTGTATGGTGTGTAGGATGTAGGTATATGTGTAGTGTGTGTGTGGTATGGGTGTCTGGTGTGATGTGTGCCGTGTGTGGGTGTGTGAATGTGAGGTACGTGTGGATGGGTGTGTTGTGTGAAATTTGAGTATGTATTGTGTGTGTGGTTCTGTTGTGGGGCTGTGAGGTGGATGTGGGGCTGTACGGTGCACGTGGTGTGTATGTGATGTGAGTGGGTGGGTGTATGGGAGGTGTGTGTGGTTTGTATATGAGGGGATGTGGGGGGATGTAGATATGAGGTGTGTGGTATGGGGGTGTGTGGTATCTGTGTGCATGGTGTGAGGAGGTGCGTGGTGTGCATGAGGGGGAGGTGTTTGAGGTGTGCACAGTGTGTGCGTGTGCGAGTGCATCTGCGAGTGCGAGCGCCCAGCACGGGCCGCAGGGCGGGCCAGTCCCCCGGGCGTCAGCGAGGAGTCGGGGAGCTGGGCTGGTGGGACCCGGGTCCGCTCTGCGGGTTGGCGCCGCTGCTCGCGCAGCCCGGCGCGCGGGTGCCCTGGAAACACCGCCACGTGCCTATTTTTAAACCTTCAAAAAATGTGTTTCGTGTCACCATCGCTGTGAAGAAATAATTGCGGGAACCCTGGGGGAGCACCTTCCCACCGCCCGCGCCTCGGCCTCCTGGGGGCGAGATGGGGCCACAACGGGGTCTCCGCCGAGGGGGCCGCAACAGCCGCGCCGGAGGCCAAACCCGGGGGGCTGGGGGTGGCCCAGGCGCCCTGAGCTAAACCCCGGGCCAGGCCGGCTCGTGCGCACTTCTTCGACGGCAGCGCCTTCCGCCCTTCCGCGGGGCAGACGCCGCCCCCGTTAGCACTTGGAAGTCCCTCAAGCTAATGGGAGAGAACAGGATGACTTCTCAGTATTTGGGGGGTGGGGGGTGGGGAAGCTGTATTCAAGCGCACAAAATTGGGTGTTGACTTGAGACAAAATCCTTTTTTGCTAGATAATTTCTTTATATGTTATTTATTCTAAGATTTTATGTATTTGAGAGAGAAGAGCGCGGGAGAGGGAGAAGCAGACTCGTCGCACAGCAGGGAGCCCAACGATGCAGGACTCGATCCCGGGACCCTGAGATCATGACCGGACCCGAAGGCAGACGCTTCACCGACTGAGCCACCCAGGCGCTGAGATAGTTTTATTTTTTATGATTTATTGGCACTTAACGTAAGGTCTACGGCCCTGACGCATTTTAAGAGCAGATACAGGAGAGCCGCCGTAGGTCCGTGTTGGGCGGCAGAGCGCGGGCACCTTAGTCCATCCATTGGGGCCTCCCTTGTCCCAGGTGGTGGATAATTTTTTGATATTTAGGTTTGACTTTGGGACGTGTGTAAGTACATTTGAGGAAACGTGCACCTGATCTGGAAGTTTCCTTCCTGTGAGACAGTTGTGCTGTGAGGGAGCCAGAGAGAGCGCTCAGGTGGCCGCGCTTCCTCGCCGGGTCGCGGTCCGCGGGTGAGGCCAGCCGGCTGGGATGGGAGCAAAGCCCGCTGTGGCCAGGCGCGGGCCGCCCCGTCTGGGTTCATGGCCCAGCGTCTGCACGTCACAGGGCGAGGCCAAGAAGCCAAATGCCGGCAGGTAATGTGCTCAGTTTGGATGACGAGCGGCAGATTTTTTATAGCATCGGCACGATTGAGGCTTCGTTCTCAATAAACAGCTAAATAAAAAATAAAAGACTTTGGTGATTACCCTCTTAGGGCGCCTTTAACAAATTGCCACAAACCAGGTGGCTTAAGGCACAGGCCTTGTCCTCTCGGGGTTCTGGACCCGCGCTGCTCCGAAGCTCTGGGGGGCGTCCCTCCGGCCTCTCCCGGCCTCTGCTCTTTCGGGCACTCCCGGGCCTTCGAAGGCTGCCTTCGCTCGGGCTGCACACCCAGTCTCAGCTGGTTTCCTCCGTCTGTCATGTGAGATTGGGCTCCCCCTCCCCCCCCCCGATCCCCCGAACCCAGTAGACTTCATTTCAATTCGAAGAATTGTATCTGCAAAGACCCTGTTTCCAAATACAGTCACGTTCTGAGGTTCCAGGTGAACACGAATTGGGGGCACCCCGTTCCATCCGGTGCACTCGGCAGACTCAAGACGGGGTGACGCCTCGGCTCTCCCCTTTGCACAGGCCATGACGTGGGACAACTTTGGGAACCGACAATGACCCGCCACAAAAGCTGTTTCCAGAGCCCCCACCGGTCGGGGGGCAGAGCGAGGCCAGAGGTCTCGGGAGCTCCCGGGAAAAACGCTCTGTTCCCAAAGCTACACTGTGGGCCGTTGTTCCCACAGACGGTCTCAGTTCTGGGTTTGTGATTGATGATTGATTGATTGATTGATTAGACAGAGAGCATGAGCAGGGGGAGCGGCAGGGAGGGGGAAGCAGGGAGCCCGATGTGGGACTCGATCCCAGGACCCCGGGATCATGACCTGAGCCGAAGGCAGACGCTTCACTGCCTGAGCCCCCCAGCCGCCCCATGGGTTTGCCTTTTAAAGCCAAAACCAGGTCTGTGTGTGTGTGTGTGTCTGTGTGTGTCTGTGTGTGTGCGTGTGTCTTCACACCTGGGGGGTGGGTGTGCACATGTGGGTGCCTGTGTCTCTGTGTCTGTCTGTGCACCCACGTGCGCACCCGTGCGCCGTAAGAAGAGGCCTCTGGCAGCCCCGTCCTGGGCCCTGGCCCCCCAAGGCCAAGGAGGGCCCCGTGCTCGCTGCGGGCGCAGTGGCTCTCAGCCGTCTGTCCCAATCCCTGGGCGCGGGGCATCGCTAAGGACACGGTTGACACCTACAGGACGGGGTTTCTAGGATGCCTGGGACATCTCTCAGGGCCGCAGCCTCCGGACACGGGCAGGCGGGAGCGAGGGCATCATCGGGCATCTGGCCGGCGGTCGCAGGAGGCCCACGAACCGAGGTCGCGTCCAGGGACCAGAGGCCCCAGGGCTGTCGCACACAGCAGCAGCGGGCCGTGGTCAGCTGACGGATGGCGTGGAGCTCCTCGCCCCGACCCCCCCCAGGCTGCCCCTCCAGTCTGAGGATCTGCTCTGCGGAGGAGGGGGGGGAGCAGGAGCCGAGGGGCTGCTCAGGCCCAGGGTGACCCAGGGTGACCCCGGCTGGGCCCCACGCTCTCTCTGCCCGCCCACACCTGGCCCGTCCTCGGGAGTCTGCCCCAGGCTGCCTGGCAGGTACCGAGGGCCGGTGGCCGATTGGGAGCCCGACACGCGCCACCGCCCTCCCTGCGCCCTCATGGAGGTGCCCGGCGGGAGGGACCCGCGGGGCCGGGGAGGTTGGGCAAAGCTGCCACCCTCCTCTGGGCACCCCTGACGGTCCAGGGCGGGGAGCCCACAGAGGGCCGGCCTGGTCACGCAGCGGGTAGGGGCTGGTTGTTCCCCGCAGCCCGCGTCCCCGTCGTGGCCTC